ATCCACCCCCTAGGTTCTGCATCCCTGTGCGGATATCAAGGCCTAAGCCGGAGCCCTGACCTACTCAGCACACTCCACCAGGGTCCACCCAGGCCAGCCAGGGCGCACGCGTTCCGGGCGGCCTCGGGCAAACTCAAACTCCCGAGGACAGAGGTTGGAGACCCGGCCGGCCGGCTTGGCTCTCCGGAGCGCCCAGCCAGCCGCTCTTCTCCGGCCTCCGGGCGTCAGGGCGCAGCTTCCACGCCCGCTCTTACTCGGGGGCCGATTGCGCGCGGCGGGACGCTGAGTGTGTGTGCGCGGCGCGGCCTATATTTACACCCCAAACAAAATAATTACACTTTTGTCGGAGGGAGAAAGCCAGTGATTAGGCGCGGGCTCTTTGCGGCAAAACAGTTTCTCAGTGGTACACCAGTATAATTTTTCACGGCTGGCTGAAATCAAAGAGGGGAAGTAATGAATCCGGCGAGCAATTTAAATTTACAATTTGTAACGCCGCCGCCGCGGCGCAGACCCGGCCGAGAGCGCAGCTCTGAGGCGCTCGCTGCGTTTGTTTAATGTTAAAGCCCGCGCCGGCTCTTGGGGGCGGGGATGGGGGGGAAGGGATGGGGATGCGGAGAATGCATTTGGCTGGGGGGTTGGGGGGAGGTAATGAACGAAGTCGGGAGAGGACCGGCAGCGCCGCCCAAGATACCGCGCGGGGAAGACAACGAAGGGCGCACCCCCCGGGTTCCCTCATTGCGCGCGTCCCCCAAGAAGGCAAGCCGCTCCGGGCCATCAAGGGGAAGGGATGCCTTCGGAGGAGCGAAGGGAGATGTCCCGGCCGGCACAAAAGCTCCCAGCTCCCGCTGGGCTGCAGAAACGTCCGCCCACCCCCATCCCAGGCAAGAGAGCTTCCAGTGAGTAGGGAGGTGCGACTGAAAATTCTCTTTAGCCTGCGGGTAGGTCAGCTCCAAATTCCCGAAGAGTTCCCATTCCGGCGGCCGCCGCCCCGAGTCCCGGGCTGGAGAAGACAAGAAAGAAGCCCCCCGCCCAAGCCCCAGCTCAGTGCGCCTCCAAACTCCCACCCCGGGCGGGTGTGTGCCTCTTCGCCGGTAATTAATTACCGAACTCAAGGGGGAATATGCAAACCGCATATTACTAACTCTACAGGGCTTAAGTGATTGGAAACAGATTATTATCTTGTTTGTCTTTTGTCTGTTTTACTTATCCCGCCGCCGTCTGTCGAGTTGTAATGTTGATACTCTTTAGTCTAGGAGGAAGATTTTTATATAGTAAATTCCATCAACATCTTGTATAAGCGACATTGCGCCTCCATGCATTACCCTGTTAAGACACAAGCGGTTTATTAGTTACATATAGAAGGGGATTTCGCTGCCTGGTCGCCATCTGTTAGCGCTGTTAGGGCGGGATAATTCGTCTAATAGTTGGTCTGCTGGCGTTTTTCGGATGCTGTGCACCCTGGAAGGTGAAAGGCTGGCAAAGGCCAAGCAGGCTTTCCTGTGGTGGGGCTGGGGCGTGGCGGTTCTGGACTGGGGCTGGACTGGGCTGAGGCACCCAGGGTGAACTCAGGGGGCTGCGACCTGGACAGGATGGGTAAACCCCACTACAAGAGGCAGAGGCCGGAGAGAGGCTTCTGGAAGCAGAGACCTCATCTCCTGCAAACAGGAATTCAGCCCCTGGTGACTCACCACATCCAGGCTCCGGAAGACTCAGAGCTGCTCTCTGAGACTGTCCCCGATTCCTGCTACCTCCCCAGCCTGGTGTCACCGCTGCTGGGGCCTGGCTGCGCGCTGCCATTTAAGCACAACCGGGAGGTGAGGGCAGGTGGATCTGTCCCAGATGGAACCCGGCACACAGCACCCAGCAGCCGGCAGGGTTGGCAAAGCCAGGGCTGGGAAGACACAGTAACCTGACTCTCAAGGACCCAGTTGGGGGACGGGGGTGGGGTGGGGTGGAGGACGGTGAGTTTGGGGTGCTTAGTCCAGAACAGGGCAGAAGGCTGTCAGATGGGGCTTTTAATGACCGTATGTGAGTCTTCCGGCACCCCAATAGCTGTACGGTGCACGATGAGAATTGTTCATTGAAGCGTTGCGCGCGTGCTGGATTTGGATGCCCAGCAGAGACGAAGAGGGAAGAAAATAAAAACAGTGAAATCAAGAAAGAAAGTGCTGGAGAACCAGAGGGAAAGGGAAACAGAAAAGAGAACAGAGGCCGAACATAAGAAAGAAAAGGAGACGGAAAGGAAAACAGATGTGCAGAGGACGCGCGGGAGAGAGAAACCCCCGGTGAAACAAAGGCCGAGTAGGCAACCCAGTTGGCCTCCACTTCCAGCCTGGCGCCTCTCTCCTCTCGCGTTCTTGGTTCTCCCGGACCCTGCCCCGCTGGAGCCTGGGGCCCCTCATGCCCCGGGGAGGGCAGAGCCAGACTGCCAGAAACTGGTTTCCTTTGGAGCTCTCCCAGCTCGGCCTAGGGGACCAGGCGAGCGAGCTCCAGTCTACTTGCTGCTGGCCGAGCCCGGCTCGCGTAGACGCCTGTCTCTGGGCAAGCTAGACGATGGAGTAACAGCACCATCAGGCAGAAGCTGCCCGATTTGGGGGGGCTTCTTTTCAGAGACCGAGCTGTGGGTCAGTGTCCCACCTGGCGACTGGCATTGTCAATTCCCTGTCCCCAGCCAGACCACCTCCCCGAGAGACTGGGGGACAGCGCTAATCCTAGACAGGAACAGAGAGAGAAGTAAGCATCTCCGTGCCTCCACCAAATGCCCCAACATGGGCATCCAGAAACCCTGCCCCCATCAAATCCACAAAGGTAATGCTCGCAGTGCACGCACAGCAGGCCCCCCCCCCAAACCTACAGGAGTCACATAAACAAAAACACAGCTCTCCACACGCAGGCACACACAGTGTGACTGGCAGACAAGCGCAGAGCCACAAAATTCTGCACTCATAAACACACTCAACCGAGCTCAGTCACATACACACGGGGCCTCAAGCACACACCTGCTCACCCACACACAAACACACCCATTTGGGGGTTTTTAAGTCAACTTACACATCAGTGCTAGCACACACACACCATAATATTATCCACATGCACACTCACACGTGCAAACACCCTCACGTTTGAGTGTCTGAAAGTCAGCCTACACACATACACACAGACCAACAGAAACAAGAGCACACAGACTAACACACACCGCAGAACTATACACAAATACACACAGATTGGCACTAAGAAAGACACATACCCAAATGTATTCAGGTGATTCATTACTAACTATAAACGGAGGCAACAATGCAACTCTCAAACGGCAAACATTCAGGAACAAACTCAGTAAACGCACCAAACACACATTCACAGCCAAGTCTTGGCACAAACACACTTCTCTGGCTCCAGCCCCAGGCCTACCTACCCTGATAGCCAACGGGCCTCTTTCCCTGAGCCCGATGGAAAAATCCTGCGGAGGCTTCCCCACCTCCCTACCTTGGTGAGCCTAGTGGCCAGGTCGGCCCTTGGGAAAGGAGGCCTGGCCTCTCCCTCCGTCCCCCAGACCCACACCTCCCTCTTCACACGCACCTGAAGCGCCCCCCGCACTCCCCAGGCCCTCGGCTCTCCGCCGAGGCGCTTTTCCTTCCCTCTACGTTGGGTGGAACTTGCACACAGCCCGCGCACGCCACCAGTGCAAGCGCGCCCACACGGTGTCCAACGTTCCGCCCCCACCCCTCAAAGGCCTGACCCACTCACCACGGTGCCCCTACTGGCTGACCCGGGATCTGGAAGGTGCATCGAGGAAAGGAGAGACGTGGTGAACGCCACCTCTGAGCCAGCTTCAGAAAGACCCGTCTGCCCTGGATCGCCTCCTCCCCGTCTCTTCCCCAGAGCCCCGTGGGCGGCGCGCTCAGGCCTGAAACTCCACGGTCGCGGACCAGGCCAGATGCCCCCGTCCCCACCTAGGTTTGGGGCCTGCACGGGGAAAGATACCCAAACGGCACGGCTCGCGCTCCCGCTTGCTCTCTCGCTCGCACGCTCCGGGCTCTCTGGCGCGCGCGCTCTCTCTCTCTCTGTCCCTAAGAAAGGCCGCTGGGCCCCAGCTCCGTGTGTGACAAAAGAAGCCGCCCGGCTCGGGGAACCCCGCGAACCGCGCTGTGGCAGCTCCAGGGCGCAGACCCCAGGGACGCTGGGACGGGGGAGTCCCATCTGGGGCCGCTGGACTGCGAAAGAGGAGGGGTGCACGTAGAGCGCTCTCCGGGCCTCGGACAACTTCTGCAAGTTCTGGGATGGCGAATGGGGCAGGGGTCCGTCTCCCACTAGGCCCTGGAATTCTGGCCCCCAAATATTTATGAGCAGAGAGGGAGGGAGATGCGGTTTTCAGATCGCGCGGCCCCCCGCCCCCAGCCCCAAACTGGAAGGTAAATACTTACTTAGCCTCCGAACCAGGTACAAGCTAATACTCAACAATACTGATGCCTTGTTTTTTTTGCTCTGTCCGGACCGCAACGCTGTAGCCAATTTAGATATGCTATAAATTTAAGAGGTTGCCATGGCCACCGCGCGCCCATTGGCCACCGGGCCCCCTACGTGCCGCGCCACGTCACCAAATCTGAATAAGGATGCGCGAATTAGGCGGCGGCCAGACAAAGATGAGGATCGGGACCGCTTGAAAGTGGGGGAAAGTGCCGGCGCCTCCGCCACCGGGGAAAGCCGCTCCGCGGCGCCGAGGCCATTAGCCACCCGAGACACCTGGGGGAGCCCGGAGCAAGCACTGGGGCGCGCGGCCCGGGGCATGAGGCTGTGAAAGCCACCCCTCCCCACCCCGGCCCCCCCCGGCAGCCCAGCGCCAAGCCAGCGATCGCCCAAGGACTTGACCGGCTGAGTCTTGGTCCGGACCGGACTCGCCCGGCGGCTGCCGAGATCAGAGGCGGAGCGCAGCAGCGGAGCCCGGGGGCCCGAGGGCCGGGGGCCCAAAGGGAGGGCAGGGCGGCCCGAGCCGCCGGGGCGCTATGATGGTGCACTGTGCTGGTTGCGAGCGGCCCATCCTCGACCGCTTTCTGCTGAACGTGCTGGACCGCGCGTGGCACATCAAATGCGTTCAGTGCTGCGAGTGCAAGACCAACCTCTCGGAGAAGTGCTTCTCGCGCGAGGGCAAGCTCTACTGCAAAAATGACTTCTTCAGGTAAGAGGCCGCGCCGCCCCGCCGCCTGCGCGCTCGCCCTGCGCGCACTCCGGGGCGCCCGGGAAGGGGAGACCGAGAAACCAGCCTCCTGGGCTCACAGCCTTAAATGGGAAGCGGGGCAGCCCCGCCGCTCTCCTCCTGTGCTGGGTCCGGGAAGGCGCCCGAGCCCGGGCGGAGGAAGAAGAACGCTGCTTCGCTGTCTCTAGTTCGCTCCTCCAGGCCGGCTTGGAGCCGCCCCCGTGGGGCAGGGCGAAGAAGCCCCGAGAAACTTGCTCCCCGCGCATCTCTGCCCCCTTCCCCGCAGCTGCGACCCCAGGGTGGAAGTTCAAGCCCGGTTCTGAGAGAGGAAGGATTTTTGCCCCCGTTAGGGACTGCGGGAGGCCTCTCTCACCGGGCAGAGTGCAGGAGCGCCAGGGGCCGACCTCTGGCAGGCCAGGGCCCCAGAGCCCTCCTGGACAAACGGAAACTTCCCAACTCCTGGGGCCCAGCCAGGAAGATCTCCTCTGATGACGGAGGGAGGGAACCTTCCTCCTTGCCTCCCCCCCTCACACACCACCACCCCCGCCCCAACTCCTTAAACATGTTCTCCCGTGTTGAGATGTACAAACGAAATCCAAGCTGAGAATCAGGACCTCCGGGGTCCAGTCTGCGATGTGTCACCTCCCTTTGCTACCCACACGGGCCCTCAGGTGAGCCAGGGCGGATCACTTTCCTGGGCCTCAGCCTCCCCAGCTGGGAAACGCCAAGGCAAATGACCTGAAAGGCTGTGGGTTTTTCCGCGGCTCAGCCCTGCCTGCTTCCTTCTGCCAGGCACCAGGAGCCGGCTTTGTGCGTGCGAATTCCCGGGCATCAAGGGAAGGGGGGTCGTGATTAACACCGTGGAGAAAGGCTGCTCTCCCGGCCCCAGCAGCTAGGCACTAGGGAATTTGAATAGGAGAAAATGTCAGCCTCGGCTTTACACGTGTAAACTCCCTGGCTCTGGAGGCCCGAGGCCCCTAATGTGGCGGTGCTTGCAAAGTGCCTAATGATTTTTGATAAGGTGCATATGGCCAATTACACTGCTGGATAAGGCCAAAAGTGACTTATGGCTTCTAATGCCCTCACTACATCAACGTCACCCAAATTCGCCCTGTTTAGAGACGTGGGTATGAGTAGACGTGGGGCCCCAAAGTCCTGGGTCCTGGCTCTCCTCCTCATCCCACACCTCACCCCTCCCAGTGCTGGCCTGCACCGTGCATTTTGGGGGAGGCTGCCCTTCTCCAAGTGCGCCAGGAAGAAAGAAAAGGATTTAGATCCGGGAACGCGGGAAGGGGGGATTGGAGAGGTCCTGTGTACTGGCCATGCAGGGTTAGGACTGCCTTCTGGTTACCTTCTCCCAATTCCTGCCAGGGCCAGAGACTGGGGGCGGGGGGGGGGGGGGGAGAGACTCAAGCTCTGCTTTCCAGACACCACCGCTCCGAGGCCCTGCTGTCCACAGGCTCCCCACTAGCTCCAGCGGGTCCCAGAGTGGGGGTCCTGGAGGGCCTCCAGTGCTGGTGGCACTGGGAATCAGCAAAAGCTTCCTTCCTTCCTGCTCAGGTGCAGCTCAGAAGAGCCCCCCACACCGCTGCTAGGAACTGCCATCCAGGACGCCTGCCCTTACCTGGCCCCGGGCAGACTGGAAAGGGATCCAGGAGGCCAAGCAAAGAGTGGTCCAAACCTGGCTTGCCTGGCTTAAAACGCACCCTAACTCGGAGAGCCAAGTTTGCCTCAGGAGAGCAGCCCAGGCAGGGATGGGGTGACACGTCCGGGGTGCTCTGGCCTGTGTTTGGCTCAAGGCTGCCCCCGTGGCTGGAAGCCTGGTGGAGTGTGGAGAAACCGGAATGAGGCAGGACAGTCCCGGCCCCAAGAACGGCCCCAGGGCATTTGTCTCAACCTCTCTTGCACCAGCCAGAGAGTATAGGATCGGGGTCTCATTTGACAGATGGGGACATGGGGGCGTCTGAGAGGCTGGGGTGTGTGGGAGGAGGCCAGGGGCTCGAGAGGCTGGGGCACGGGACTGCTCCGGGGTGACGGGCCGCGGTGTGTCTGCAGGCGATTTGGCACCAAGTGCGCAGGCTGCGCACAAGGCATCTCTCCCAGCGACCTGGTGCGCAAGGCCCGCAGCAAAGTCTTCCACCTCAACTGCTTCACCTGCATGGTGTGCAACAAGCAGCTGTCCACGGGCGAGGAGCTCTACGTCATCGATGAGAACAAGTTCGTGTGCAAGGATGACTACCTGAGCTCCTCCAGCCTCAAGGAAGGCAGCCTCAACTCAGGTAGGAGGCCGCCTCCCCTCCCCAGCCTGAGGGCCTAAGGCCCTGCGGCCCCGCGGCCAGCCTGGCACTCTCCGCTCTTCCCCCTGCATGTGTTCTGCGCCTGGCTCCGAGCTCGCCACTCCCAGCGGGCATTTCCAGGGCAGATGGAAGGGACGGGTTAAGGGGGACAGCATTTGGAGTCTGTCCTACAGGGCACGGACTATGAGCTCCTTCCTGCGCTCCATCCTCTGAGGGGCCTTTTCCAAGTTTCCTGCCTCCCGCAATTTGGAACCACACAACCTCCCTGCCCCTCCCTGCTTTCTGAATCTTTTCAGCTCCTGGTCCGGAGGGCGATCACTGGGGTCTGGAGGAAGGAGAGACGGGAGAAGGCATCTGTGGCCTCCTCCCCGTCCCCTCTCCGTGAAGGCCGGGCTCCCGTAGAGGCCGTGCCTCCCCCTTACCCAGGCAATAGCGAAGAGCGCTCGAGAAGCGCCTCTGCGATGGCCAGGCCCCGCCTGGAGGGAGTGGGCGGGCGCCGGGCCCCTGGGGGAGGGGCCGCCGGACGGCCCGGGAGGGAACCCGGCGCGGGTGGCGGGGGTCCGGGGTCGGCAGGAACGGACTACCGGACTGGAGAGACCTTGGGCCGCCGCTGACGTCGCTGTTCCGTTCCCGCTCTGTGCGCCCGCAGTGTCCTCCTGTACGGACCGCAGTTTGTCCCCGGACCTCCAGGACCCTCTCCAGGACGACCCCAAGGAGACGGACAATTCGACGTCGTCGGACAAGGAGACGGCCAACAACGAGAACGAGGAGCAGAACTCGGGCACGAAGCGGCGCGGCCCGCGCACCACCATCAAAGCCAAGCAGCTGGAGACGCTCAAGGCGGCCTTTGCCGCCACGCCCAAGCCCACGCGCCACATCCGCGAACAGTTGGCGCAGGAGACCGGCCTCAACATGCGCGTCATCCAGGTGCGGCTGGGCCCGGGCTACCCTTTCCCAGCCCGGAGGAGCCCCGGAGGCGGAGGCCCACGGGAGCTTCCCACCCAGCCTCCGGGGCTAAGGAGTGCGCCGAGTTCCGGCCTGCCGCAGGGCAGCCTCTGTGCCCGAGGTCAGGGCTGGCTGGTCAAACTCCTACCCGAAAGATTCTGCAAAGTCCCGCTGTCCTCACGGTGTGATCTTGGGCGGGTCGCTTCGCCCCCTCGGAATCCCGCCCCCTCCCCGTTCAAGGAGTTTTAAGCCTCGCTGGGGGTACCCCACCTTCCCCTTCCTATTTCGGAGCAGAGAAGAAGGCAAGGTTCTTCTCCACGTGGCCCCTCCCTGCGCCGGTGCGCGGGCAGACAGACAAACGGCCAGATCCCGGCTGCGAAGCCGAGGGGCCGGGACCAGAGCCGCGCAGGGCGGGAGGCCTTTATAAAGCCGTCAGGCCGAGGGCGGGCCGAGGACCAGGAAGCCCAAGTCTTTATGAGTCGCCCCACGGGTCCGCGAAATCCTTCACCCTTGGCTGGTTCCCCGAAGCCCCTCTCCACCTCTCCCGGCCTAATCCGCCCGGCCCCCGCCTCTGGGCAGTCTTGGGGAGGAGGCTACAGAACCCAGAAGGAGCGGCCTGGGCAGGAAGGAGAGGGCACCCCGGATCGGAGCTCACAATCCCTGCTCTGTCCCAGGTGTGGTTCCAGAACCGAAGGTCCAAAGAGCGCAGGATGAAACAACTGAGCGCGCTGGGCGCCCGGAGACACGCCTTCTTCCGGAGTCCGCGGCGCATGCGTCCGCTGGGCGGCCGCTTGGACGAGTCCGAGATGTTGGGGTCCACTCCGTACACCTACTACGGAGGTAAGCCCCCCCCCCCCCGCCAGGAACGCGCCGCCCTACACCCAGGCCCGTGCTGTCCTGGGGTCTGAGGACGCACATCCGGATCCGGGGCGCTGTTGGCCGCCCGGGGACCCCCTCCCTCCCTCCTACTCACGCGGGACGTACACAACCATGAACACACCTTAACAGACACACAGCGACACACGCATGCACGCTCAGCCAAAGATACCTCTTGGACACAAAATCAGACACCCGTACCGCGATACACACAGATAAACACCCACGCACCCACGCAGCGCACACGGGTACACTCCCTTGCGCCCTCACTGGAGTTGAGATCTCAGGGGCGCAAATCTGGACACATGATCACACACAACACACAGGTGTGTGCCACTCCCCAGTTACATTCAATGACAAATATACCCAGAGACGTTCACAGGCTCACACATTCCCAAGCATCGTGCCGAGGCCAGCACTCGCAGATCCACCTGCACCCTGTGCCCGCCAGACACGCAGCCTTCATGCTGCCCTTGCCCGTGGCCTGGCGCACTTGGCGTGAGCAGGAACACGGACGCTGGAGGGCAGCTCAGGCAACAGGGGCGAAGGGGTCAGGATCCGTCCTCGACTGTGCTGTGCGCTGTGCGCGCTGGGTGTCTGGCCCTGTCAGCCGATGCCCGCGTCGCCCTGGGCGGGACTCCTGCGCGGGCTCCAGCATCAAGCACACCAGTGGTCATGAGGGTTGGAGGTACAAGAACTGGTCCCGCCAGTTACCCACTCCCTGTCTTTGGGGCTGCAGGGGGCAAGGGGCTGGAGTTTGCGGGGAGGAATTCCGCTCTTGGCGTCCGGGGCTCAAGGCCTGGGTGAACTCTCCTCTTGGTCACTCCTTTTCTTCCCTCCCTCCTCTTCTCCTTCATCCCTTGTCTCCTCACCCCTCCATTTCCCTCGCACCTGCTGGGCCGGCCGGTTCCGACCGCCCCCTCCCACTTCCCACTACCCTCCCAAATCCCTCACCAAGGTTTTTAGAGACCCCGAGTGCGCGCTAGGGAATCCGCTCCTGGTCCTGCACTTCGCCAACCTTTGGGCTCAAGGAAAACCCCTCCCCCTCCGATTTGTTTCTGAGCCTCTGAATTTGGAGAGCGCCAGGAGTGCTTGTGCCTCCGACAGATCTCTGCTGGGTTGCTCAGTGCCACAGGCCTATGTGGGGGGCTGGTGGCCCAGTTTGGGGAGAGGCGACTTTTCTTAGAAACGTGGGTTTGGAGGCAACGCGAGGCCAACGGGTAGGCGCCTGGCACACAAGCTTCCGGGAAAGGAAGGCTTCCTACACTGTCTGCCCGGGTTAGACCTTCCCTCCCGCCAGGGCAGCCAGAAATTGTGGGCATCTTGGGCGGCTGTGTTTTGGAGGAGGCTCTGCCGTGGCAGAGCCCAGGACAGCTCGGAGGTGCATGCGTCCGGGGGTCACCAGCTCTCCCTACCCATCTGCTCGGCACACGGTCGCGGTGGCTGGGCGGTGCGGTCCGGAATTTCTCCCCGCCTGGGTAATTAAGGCAGGTCTCCCCGAGGACTCCTGTGCCCCCGACCAACCCCATGCCTCTACCCACGCGTGTGCTGGTTGGGGGGTGGGGGCCAGGACCCGCGGGCCCATCCTTCTCCGGGATCGGGGGGCCAGGACCCCCGCCCCCCAGCCCCAGGGAGGCAGCCCCGCCTAATCCGCGCTGGGAGATCCCGGCGGCGGCGGCGGCGGCGGCCGGCAGCGGGCGAGAAAGGGGCTGGGCGGCGGGGCCGGCGGCTCCCCGTGGGAGCGCGGACAAAGCCCCAGCTGCGGCTTTTGTGCCCTTTTCAGACGGCGTTTGTTCCTATTACCTCCGGCCCGGCCGCCATATGGGCGGAGGCGGCGCGCTGCGCGCGGGGGCCGCGGCCCTGGCGGGCTTTGCCGGCTCGCTGCGAGCCGCGGCCGGCCCCCATCCCCGTCCCTCAGGGGCCCCCAGTTCGCCGCTTCCCACCTTTCTCTTCACTTTCGGGGAGGATGGAACGAGTGGTTTAAAAACAAAACAAAACAAAAGTAATCGGGGAACGCTTTCGCGGTGCCTCAATCGTCTACAAGCCGCGCCTCCGGGCACCTCCGTGCGGACTGACTTCGGGGTCTGGAAAGGGAAGGGGGCCGATGGCAGGGGACATCCAGAATTCGCCCTGGCCACCGAGACCCCACGACCGAGTGCGAGGGTGGGTGGGGGTGCGCTGGTTTTCCCACCGCACAAAGCGGGTTATCGTCTCCAGTGCCGGCTACAAGGTGCTCCTTTCGTGGGGTCCCACACCCCAGACCTTCAGGGGCGGAGGAGGGGGGGAGGCTGCCTGGGAAGACCCAAGGGAAGGGGCGCTGGAAGGAGGGGAGAGAGTTGATGCGGAAACAATTTGAGAATAATGGGGGGGGGGGCTGTAACCCGGAGTCCCCGCGCCCCCTGATTTTGAGGGCAAAATGCGATGTGTGCATTTTTCTGGAGAAAGCCCATAGCTATCACCAGATTCTCTAAAGGACTCAGTGTCCCCAAATGTTTCCGAAGCTGGGTGTCCTGGCAGACCCGCCCGGGATGGGACTGAGGGACCCAGCCTTCCCGCTGAGGTGCCCACGAAGCGTTGGACGTGACCAGGCGGATGTCCCTCCCTCCTTCAAGCTCCAGGCCTCTGGTGAGGCCGGCACAAATGATGGGACCCCCACATTCACCCAGAAGGTGGCAGGGCAGTATTTGAGGGGGCAAAGGACTGGCCGGGTTGGTGGGATGCTGGGGGGGGGGGGGCGGTCAGAGTTCCGGTTGCCAGGTCCCCAGCTCGTCAGCTGCTGGGGCAGGGGACCAAGTCCGGCTTCTCCCTCCCTCCCCCGCCGGGGTCGCCGGCCCCACTAGGCCAGTTCTTCCCGCCCAGCTTTTCTCGGGGCCTCGGGTGGCGCCCGGGGCCCTTCGCTGGGTTTTCACACCACCCGGCCCATCTCGTCTTTCTCTGGGCTCCTCCTGGAAGATCGATCGCCCGGGTCTCCGGCTTGGGCTTGGGCTTGGTGCCTCTGGGTCTCTTTTCTGACCTGAGTCTGGGGGCTTCCTGCCGCGTCCCCTCTTCGCTCCCGTGTCACACGGTTCCCTGCCCATGTCCCACTGACCCTGTCCCTGGCTGTTTCCGCGCCTCTGGCTCTCGGAGGACCTCCCCCGTTCTCAGGCAGCGTCTAGGATGGTTCACGGTCTCTGTGTGTCCCGGCCACCGTCTCCCTGCATCTCTGGCTGTCGGGGAGCCTGTGACTTTGAAGTCACGATATTTTTCTGTCTGTGCTCCTGGCTCTGAGTCCCTTCCTCGGGTCCTTGCGTCTCTCAGCCTGGGTCCTGGGCCTTTGGGCAGCTCTCATGGTCTCCCTCGGGGACACTGGCCCGGGTGGGAGGGTGTGCGCGCGCGCGTGTGTGTGTGTGTGTGCGCGCGCGCGCGCGCGTCCTCCGCCTGGTCGGCCGGCCGCTCTCGCTCCCCCTTGGTCTCCGCAGGCCTCCCCGCGGGGCTCCACAACCTGAGTCGGTGCGGCCCGGGCCCCCCCCTTTCCCCCGTCCGCCCCCCGCGGCCTTGGGGCCTGGCCGCCTCTGACCTGTCCCCGTGTCTCCCCGCCCCCTCCCGCAGACTACCAAGGCGACTACTACGCGCCCGGAGGCAACTACGACTTCTTCGCGCACGGCCCGCCGTCGCAGGCGCAGTCCCCCGCCGACTCGAGCTTCCTGGCGGCGTCGGGGCCCGGCTCGACGCCGCTGGGCGCGCTGGAGCCGCCGCTCGCCGGCCCGCACGCCGCCGACAACCCCCGGTTCACCGACATGATCTCGCACCCGGACACGCCGAGCCCCGAGCCGGGCCTGCCCGGCGCGCTGCACCCCCTGCCCGGCGAGGTGTTCAGCGGCGGGCCCAGCCCGCCCTTCCCCATGAGCGGCGCCAGCGGCTACAGCGGACCCCTGTCGCATCCCAACCCCGAGCTCAACGAGGCCGCCGTGTGGTAAGGCCGCCGGGCCGGGCCGCCCCCGACGCAGCCGCGCGGACCGACGCGCCGCCCTCGGGGTTCCCTCTCGGGTCCGCACGCAGCGCAGCTGCTGCTCGGCGGGGCGCGCAGGGGGCGCCCCGGCGTCCGCCCCCGCGGGGCTCTCCCGGCGGCGGCTCGAGCGGTGCTCGGGACCGAAGTCAGTACTGCGGAGGGTCCAGAGGTTCCAAGCACGCGCTCGCTCTAGGCTTCCCCCGACCCCCGCCGCCGCCCACCACCACCTCTCCGGACCGAGAGAGGCTTGAAGCCCAGAGGCGCAGCCGATCCCCCACCCCCGCTCTCCGCCGCCGGCCGCGTGGCATTGGGTACGCTTATTTCTCACTCCGCTTTCCCCGTCTTTAAAACAAGATGGTAAGGAAAAGAGAGAGAGATGGAAGGGAGAGCGAGGGAAGGGAGCAAAATGAGGAAGATGGAGAGAGCGCGAGAGGCGCGCGCTCGAGGGGTGGGGGTGTCACCGGGAGGAAGAGGAATCCGCCTGCGCGCGGGCGCCCCCTGGTGGCCACACTTGAGGATCAAGGTCAGCTCTCTGGGAAGGGGGCGGTCCGGACCTCGCGGGCCCCGGGCCGGGCACATCCCCCACCCCCCACCCCCCACCCCCACCCCGCTCCGCCTTTCCTTCCTTGGACTTTTATTGCGAGCCCGGGGGTCCAGGCCAGACTGGAACACTCGCCCACCCTGCTCTCCCCCCTGGCAAGGGCAAACCGCCAAGATTTCCGGGCTCCGGCCCACAGACCACCCTCCCTGCCCGGGGCCTGGAGGCTGGGTCGTCAGGATGTACAGTATTATACTTTTTTGGAAGTCGAACGCTTCTAGTTTCCTTATTTTGTATAAAGAAGAAACAAATAAAGTATGTTTTTGTGTTTACTGTTTATTTATTGTACTCTAGTTATCCGGGGTTGGACATTTTTATATTTTTAAGAGGAGGGAGGGCAGAGCGAGAGGGAGGGGAGGCAGAAAAAGGTTTACCTAAAAAAAAAAAAAAAAAACACGAAAAAAACACAAAAACACAAAAAATCAACTTTTTTTTAAAAAAAAGAAAGATTAATAAAAAAATGCTTTTTTTCCCTCAGTGCTGTGTGGCTTTCTTTTGTGTGTGTGCCTGCCGTCAGCCGCTCAGGGTGAATGGAGCCATTCTTTTCTCTAGTCCACGTGTCCCTCATAACACAGACTCACGCGCTCAGCCCTCTGCATCTGAAAGGGGTGCTTTTGAGAACCAGCAGGTAATGAACGTGGCTGCCATTTTTTTTGACAGCTACTGTGTGCTGGGCACAGGATAGCCCGATTCTTTAATGCTCTCCTGCTTTATGTAATATCCTGCCTCTCACACCACCCTTGGCCGGGCGCACAGTAGGCCTTCGAAGTAGTCGGTGAATGCCTGACGGTGGCATTTGTTTGTCGTCAGCGTGTCAGGAGAATTCAGGCCTCACTCCTGATGAGCCCCCTTCGGGCTGTGCTGTGCGGGCTGGGAAGCTAGTTATCTGCCAGGCTGTGTTAGGACACAGGTGCCCCCCGGGCAGAGGAGAGTCAGGCTAGGGTCCTCTGGCTTTCTGATGCTAGCCTGCTGACACCCTTAAGTAAATCAGCATCTGCATGACGGAAAGTGCTGGGTGAGATTCACTACCTGAAGACAAGTCCCGCCTTCCTTTTACCTGAGTTTCCTTACTTCCAAAAGTGGGGATTGGAGGGAGGGCTTCCTACCTTGGCTTCCCACTCAGACACTGTAGGTTCAGAAAGGCAGACGAGGTGGGGCGCCCGGGTGGCTCAGTCCAGTCCGTTAAGCGTCTGACTTCTGCTCAGGTCATGATCTCACATCCATGGGTTCGAGCCCCATGTAGGGCTCTGTGCTGACAGCTCAGAGCCTGGAGCCTGCTTCGGATTCTGTGTCTCCCTCTCTCTCTCTGCCCCTCCCCCACTGACTCTGTCTCTCAAAATAAAGACATAAAGAAAATTTTATAAAGAAAGAAAGGCAGAGGGAGAGAACAGTAAATGGAAAGGTGTCCTGGACGGGGTCCCTTTTCACCCAAGCTGGGGGGAGGGGCTGCCCACCTTAGTGGCAACAGGGCCAGGAGGGAACGAGGGAGATGAGAAGCCAACCACCAAGGAATGGGCACCACCAAGGAATGGGCACATGCTAAGAGCCCTGCTCATCCGTTGTTTAATGTGGGCTTTGGGGGAAATAACGCAAGGTGGCTTGGCTTTTTCTTTCCTTTCCCTGACACTCATTTGTCTTTTTTTTTTTTTTTAAATGTTTTTATTTATTTCTAGGAGAGAGAGAGACAGTGTGAGCAGGGGAGGGTCAGAGAGAGAGGGAGTCACAGACTGAAACAGGCTCCAGGCTCTGAGCTGGCAGTCAGCACAGAGCCCGACGCGGGGCTCGAATCCACGAACCGCGAGATCATGACCTAAGCGAAAGTCGGACGCTTAACCGACTAAGCCACCCAGGCGCCCCTCATTTGTCTTTATCAGACCAATGCTCTGTGCTCATTGAGGAAAATTTAGAAACTTCAGTAAACACAGAGAAGAGAATGTAACCCGCCCCCCCTGACTCCCGAGCACCTTGGTAATGTATTTGGTACATTTCCTTCCAGACTTTGCTTTTCGTCTTCATTTTGAAAACCTGAGCTCGTTCTCTGCACACTGTATGATTACGTCTGGCTCACTCAGCAAGGTCTCCCGGGTTAATAAACTGATCGTAGTCAGAGCTACATCATCCTCTGTAGTGACTGGCTAAACCTTCCTGGCGATGGGTGACCCACCTTTTTTTGGTTTTTAAATGTTTTATTTATTTTTGAGAGAGTGGAAATGAGGGAGGGGGAGAGAGACATGGGGGCAGAGAGTCTGAAGCAGGCTCTGCGCTGACAGCGGCGAGCCCAGTGTGGGGCTTGAACTCATGAACCGCGAGATCATGACCTGAGCCGAAGTCGGACGCTCGAAAGACTGAGCCAACCAGGCGCCCCGGGTTTTGTTTACTTTTTAACCAATTCTATTGTTGGCCATTTGGGTCTGTTTCTAATGTTTTGCCACTTTAAACCATGCTGGAATAAATATCTTCATCACTAAATCTGTAGACTGTCTCAGGGTAGGTATTATTTGCCCCTGTAGGATACTCAGAGAGCTCAGGGGACTTGCCCAAGGTCACACAGCCGGGGAGTGGCAGAGGAGGGATTCAGGCCCATGTATGTAACGGGTTGTGTTTCTACTCCATGATGGTGCCCTGACTGTAATGGATCATCGAGCCCAGGAGACAATTTACAAGATTCTGGGCCCTATCTCTGCCAGGGCCCCCAGGTGAATTCTGCAAATTCTTGTGAATTTTGCAAGAAGGGCTCACTTAGAACTTTCACCAGAGAGAACCCTGAGCAAGTGAAGTACAGAGGTGTGGACTCACCTTCACTCCCCTGCAGACAGGCTTGTGATGGGGTCACGGAGGCAGGGGAGGAGGAGGGGAAGGGGATTCACAAGAGAAAGGAGGGCTCCCCCCACCCCAGCCCTGCCAAGTCACGTGACCCGCCACTCAGACCTCCCCACCCCAGCTGCCGAGAGGTGGAAAGACTGAGCAGAGATATCAACTCTGTCCTGGGGGCAGCCAAGTGGGCCTACAGGGTGAGAATTCCTTCCCAGCCCTCCAGCCAGCTACACACACACACACACACACACACACACACACACACACGTACAAAAACACGTGCACAAACAGAAACACCCACAGATACAAACAATGGCACAAGCAGGTGGACACACTCCTGCAGATGTACACACAGGACACGCCTGGTGAGAGGCACACACCGCACACTTGTGCACACACGGGTGCGTGCAGTCACATGCACACTAACGTGCACACCCCCCGCGCTTGTGTGCAGCATGCTTTTGTGCAGACATGCAAGTGCAGACAAGTGCACACACGCATGTCCACACATCTACACCTTGGACCCACGTGCCCAGTCCCCAGGGACACACACAAACCCAACCCTCATATCCTCGTGAACGTGTGCGCACACACATATACAGAGTATATGCCTGCCCTTCGCGTGCCCGGTTGCAGTCTGGGAGAACCGGGAGTCTGGGAGTGGAGGGAGCCCACCTGTGTGTCAGGGAATGCGTGAGTAGCCCTGGGGTGGTCCTGTCAGGATTTCTGAGGGAGGTTCCAGAAAGAGGGATGTCTGTGGAGTCAAGATCATTCTTGGGCTAACTCCCAGGGCCCTCCCTCTGAGTGTTCCTGAGTGAGGAGGGGTGGGAGCAGAGGTCTCCTGGGAGTGGGATGGGGGCAAAGCAGAGCAAGGGTCCTGGGGTCCGAGAGGCTCTCTGGCTGCTCACTGTACTGCCTTTCTGAGCCTTGTTTTGCTCTGCTGCAAAATGGGCTCACCATGGCATTTCGTCCCCATTGGAAAGATGTCATTCAACCTGTGGCCAAGGATCAGGAAGTCTGGGGCCTGGGTTCAATCCCCACCCCCACCCCCACACTCACACCAGCTTCCTTGGAAGCCGACAAGCAGGGCGTTGGAGGAGGTTGTCAAATCTGCTGGAGCCCACACCCCCTGCTGTGAGCTCATCTCAACTCCTCAAGTGCCTTCTTGGACCCAGGGACTCTGAGAGGAGAGATCTCATCCCCGCCCACCTCGTCATGGTGCCCTTTTGCCTTGCAGGTCCTAAGTTAGGGGGGGCGGGGAAAGGGGAGGGCCGGGCGGGTTCGCTGGTCCCTAGGCACCACGACCATTTTCTCAAAGTGTGATCAGGGGACAGTGCCTGCCACGAGTACATAACCCCCCAGGCCTCCTGGCCCCTGGCTGGCACCGCTCCCGGGCACGGCACCCCAGGTGCCCCACACATTTAAGCTCCCGAGCTGATGCCGATGTCCCCCAAACATTCAGGACCACTGCCCAATGAAGTCTTGCACACCTGGAGTCCACGTGGACCCTCAGACGCCCTTCAGCCTGAGCGTTGTTATTCCCACTTTGTAGATGA